ACTCAGAGCCCTGAAGAAGGGGAGCCCCTCCATGCATTGATTTTCCATTCACGGTTTCACCAATAAAAATGCCAATAATCTAACACAACGTTTTTCCGGCACAGTCCCGGCCTCACCATTTCTTATAGGCGTACTCCAGGTAAGAGGCGGTGAAGCGCGTCTCAAACTCCGACGCGTATTTGGTGTCGTAGAGGCCGGCCGGGAACATCTCCGAGAGGTCGGCCACGAAGTTCATGATCTTGTCTGGGAGCTGAGCGTAGAAGCTCTGGTAGAGGAAGGCCAGATCTATCAGGCCGTTGTGGAGGACTAGGGGCTTGCGGGCCCGCAGCAGCTCCAGGAAGAGGGTGCGGATGGTCTGCTGACGCCGTTCATCAGGTTACAGTGACCCCGTGTCACCACACCACGTATAGGTCAGGGCTCTATACTGACTCAGTGTGGTGCTCCAATGAGGATGGACATGACGTGTGCACAGAATCTAGTAGAAGTGACAACATGTAACACATCGGGGGGATGGGGGAGGGGCTCATGGTTTATATTCCGGGGCGTCTCAGGATACGGTCACAGAGGCCGTCCCCGCGTCCTGCATTCATCCGGCCGTACAAAGCCCGGGCCCGGCACCCATTACATCATCCACAGGACAGAGGAACGGGTTTGGCTTTACCTTGTCGTTGCCTTTGTAGTACGGGATCCCGCCGGAGTATTGCTTGTTGAAGTCGAATCCGTGCTGGACGAGGAACTGGACACTCTGCGGCTCGATGGTGTAATCCTCCATACACAGCAGCGTCAGGTTGTAGATCTGTGATAAGTAGGCGCTCTCCCCCTGCGGAGACAAGAAGATAAACATGGCCGACGTCAGGACACCAGTCCTCCAGCCAGGAAGTGAGGCGGCCTCTATCTGACTTGCTGCAGCCTCTAATGCCCATTGTGAGGAGCTCCCAGTGTGCGGTGACATCAGAGGAAGGGGGGAGGAGCCGGTACAACTGTGCAACACTGAAGTGGAGGACGGAGGTCAGAGAGAAGACTGAAGGGGAGGACGGAGGTCAGAGAGAAGACTGAAGGGAAGGACGGAGGTCAGAGAGAAGACTGAAGGGAAGGACGGAGGTCAGAGAGAAGACTGAAGGGAAGGACGGAGGTCAGAGAGAAGACTGAAGGGAAGGACGGAGGTCAGAGAGAAGACTGAAGGGAAGGACGGAGGTCAGAGAGAAGACTGAAGGGAAGGACGGAGGTCAGAGAGAAGACTGAAGGGAAGGACGGAGGTCAGAGAGAAGACTGAAGGGAAGGACGGAGGTCAGAGAGAAGACTGAAGGGAAGGACGGAGGTCAGAGAGAAGACTGAAGGGAAGGACGGAGGTCAGAGAGAAGACTGAAGGGAAGGACGGAGGTCAGAGAGAAGACTGAAGGGAAGGACGGAGGTCAGAGAGAAGACTGAAGGGAAGGACGGAGGTCAGAGAGAAGACTGAAGGGAAGGACGGAGGTCAGAGAGAAGACTGAAGGGAAGGACGGAGGTCAGAGAGAAGACTGAAGGGAAGGACGGAGGTCAGAGAGAAGACTGAAGGGAAGGACGGAGGTCAGAGAGAAGACTGAAGGGAAGGACGGAGGTCAGAGAGAAGACTGAAGGGAAGGACGGAGGTCAGAGAGAAGACTGAAGGGAAGGACGGAGGTCAGAGAGAAGACTGAAGGGAAGGACGGAGGTCAGAGAGAAGACTGAAGGGAAGGACGGAGGTCAGAGAGAAGACTGAAGGGAAGGACGGAGGTCAGAGAGAAGACTGAAGGGAAGGACGGAGGTCAGAGAGAAGACTGAAGGGAAGGACGGAGGTCAGAGAGAAGACTGAAGGGAAGGACGGAGGTCAGAGAGAAGACTGAAGGGAAGGACGGAGGTCAGAGAGAAGACTGAAGGGAAGGACGGAGGTCAGAGAGAAGACTGAAGGGAAGGACGGAGGTCAGAGAGAAGACTGAAGGGAAGGACGGAGGTCAGAGAGAAGACTGAAGGGAAGGACGGAGGTCAGAGAGAAGACTGAAGGGAAGGACGGAGGTCAGAGAGAAGACTGAAGGGAAGGACGGAGGTCAGAGAGAAGACTGAAGGGAAGGACGGAGGTCAGAGAGAAGACTGAAGGGAAGGACGGAGGTCAGAGAGAAGACTGAAGGGAAGGACGGAGGTCAGAGAGAAGACTGAAGGGAAGGACGGAGGTCAGATAGAAGACTGAAGGGGAGGACGGAGGTCAGATTAACCTTGCCTCATCTAGAAGTACTGCTGGGAAATGAAGGGAGGGAGGACGACATCAGCGCACACACTGACGTAGGTCTCCTCCCACAGCCCTTACACAGGAGTCCCAGAAACGGAGGATAATGATCATGTGACCACTAGTTCAAGTAAGGAATAATAATGCAACCAACTAATCAATCGATAATGAGAATAGATGTCAACTATCGATTAGTTGGTTGGATCCCCGAGCTCTCTCCTCTGCACTCGGAGACGGTATTAATAGGAGGGCACAGTAAGTAGTGGGCGGGTGCAATAGCCAGCCTGCTATTGGCTACGGCAATTTGAAATGACCAATAGCAGGCTGGCTTTTGCACCCGCCCACTACCTGCTGCATTTACAGTCAGCTGCCGCCTGCGGAATCTTGCCACTGGCAGCCGTCATTCCCGGGCTGAAGCTATCCCAGCGCCATGCGCTTACAATACAATTATTATGGCACCCCAAATGCCCCTCCCACCCGCAGTGTGATCGCCCGCACTGAAACGCAATGCCGTGCCTTCCAGTGCAGTGCGATTGCAAAAATTGTGTGCATGCCGTTTCATTCTGAAGTAAACTTTATGTTTGTAACACGGCATCTGAGTATTTTATTTGAAATGAAGGGCCCTGCCATATACTGTATTACCCTCCCCCTATGTACAGTACACGAGGATCCTCGGGGGAGGGGTCCACCTGAGGCAGGACAAAGTTTAGTCATGGTGTATACCGAGTTCTCCCCTTCACAGCACTTGAGGATCCTCATGGGAGGGGCCTGGCCAAGGTTTGTTCATGATGTATACTGTGTTATTCTCTCACTGCAATTACTCAGCCCCTGTATAGGAGCGATTAGTTAAAATCTCAGCCACAGAGTATAAAACCCGATTCGCCAGTATTGCCCGCGGTCTCCCTGACATACCATGCGTCATTCTGCTCTGCGTGGAGGGCCAGGGCTGTGCTTCCTCAAGTCAGACCTGCCACCCCGATAACTGGTAATCTGATGACTGGTGGGGTAATGATGAAGAAGCAGCAGCAGCAGAAGAGGTGGGGGGGGGGGGGGGGGGGGGGGGGATGTTTCACAGACACAGTAATTTTACCTTAAATGAGATAAGTGACAGTGTCTTTTTAGAACAACTTAAAGGTTTTTAGATTGTAAGCCCTCAGGGTCAGGGCCCTCCTT